GGGTCGCTGTGAGGATTACAGCCTAGGAACCCCTACGGGGCAGTCCTTCTGTCATATGGGGTCGCTGTGAGTCAGAATCAACTCGACAGCACACAATAAGTCTTGTTATATCAATTACACTTACATTTTAAAACCACATTTCCTATAAAAACAGGGAAAATAAAACTGGTTTAGTGCTTTTTTAAAACGTGTTCTTAATCCTCTTCAAAAGCATCATGGGTTATTAAAAATTAAAGCTTAAATTTCTCTGTTTTAGGGAGGAACATCACATCATTTAGGGCAGAATTTTTCCAAAATGTTTGAAATCATTTTTGAAGATCCAAAGAGCCCGGGAGAGAAGCAATTTGCCTATCAAAACTCGTGGGGCCTGACAACTCGGACAATTGGCGTTATGACTATGGTTCACGGGGACAACATGGGTTTGGTGTTGCCACCCCGTGTAGCCTGTGTTCAGGTAAGGAAAACATTTCTATTTATATCCCTTTTATGAAAATATAAGCCATGGTTACTAAAAGAATTTGAAAGTGTGATTCTTTTCTGAATATCATCCAGGTGGATTTCACTGAGATAGAAACAACATAGAATATAGTCTAGACCTTAGTATGTCATTTATGTTATTTATTACTTCTTACTCTTAATTTTTTAAGCTACTTTATGTAAGACTTTTTTAGAAATCAGTTTTTGAAGTGATTTATAATAGGTTAAATGAAGTTAGAGAATGAGGATGCATTTAGCATGAGCAAGAAGTAGCAGCTGACTGGTAGACTCTGTATGTAGATTGGTGATGCAAACAGTTAAGCACTTAACTGCTAGCAAAAAAGGTTGGCAGTTCGAACCCACCCAAGGCATCTCGGAAGACAGGCCTGGTGATCTGCTTCCAAACGGTCACAGCCTTGAAAACCCAATGGAGCAATTCTGCTCTGCACACATAGGGTCCCCATGAGTCAGAATCAACTAGACAGCAGCTAACAGCAACAACCTGTGTAGATTAGAAATGACACAAATGGGTTTGTGTTGAGTTTGACAGTCACTAGTAAGTTTTTAACTACTCAATAGTACACATGATATGCCTTCATTACTTCTGTATGCTGAGTCTTTATGTAAATCTGGGGCATTGTTCTGGGTTCTAGGTGGTGGTTATTCCTTGTGGCATCACAAATGCACTTTCTGAAGAAGACAAAGAAGCCCTGATCACAAAATGCAATGATTATCGGAAGCGGTTACTCAGAGTTAACATTCGCGTCAGAGTTGATCTGCGAGAGAACTATTCACCAGGTTGGAAGTTTAACCACTGGGAGCTCAAGGTGAATTCTTTAATTGTGGCTTTTACCCCCATGTCCCCAATTCGGACTTAGATTTTTTTCTCTCTACTTACACTTTTCTGCAACTTGAGGCGTTTTCATTCATTACTGTTCTCTGTTTGATAATTGTGAGGTTTTGTTTCTTCTCCTTTCCTTTAAAGAAGTATTGCACACCTACACAGTTCATAGCTTCGTAATATCAATTCCTAAAGTTTGTATATTGGCTAAATTTAAAATAGTTTCATAGAAGTTTGTTTTTGTTACGTTAGAATACGAATGATCCTAAAGACCTGGTCTAGGATTAATAAACCTCATAGGGTTAGTGTGCTAAAACGTTGATGTCAGGAATTCATATAGACATTTAAACAGTAAGGCCATCAGAATAGCAGTATGCGGGCATCACTTAGCTGTCATTGCTATAGAAAACCAGTAAAGCATCAGAGATTCATTTCATGCCTGAATTTCACACCACGTTGTTTTCACATTATTTCACACCAGTTTGTTGATTTTTATTTTGTATACATATACCAGTCTCCTCGATTCTGCTTTAATGCTTGTAATATAACTTTCATTGATTACATGTTTTCATTAATAGATGATCTATCTTAATTCCATTTTTCATACTTCTGGGTTTTAACATTTTTTTCTTACAATCTAACAGGGACTCTTATGGGATCTAGAAATTAGGAGTCAAGTCTGTATAAACCCACATTACAGGGAATGGGCTGAGGAGACGCAGTGGGATTTCAGTGCCAGGCTGTCACGGTCAGAGGCTCAGCGGTATTCAGAGTCCTCAGCCTGAATACACCCAGGGTCCCCAAAGTGGCTAATACTTATCACTTTATTGGTTGTAAATGGTCCCTGAGTTGAATCTTTGTGCTGAGGAATTTAATTATATTGTTATGGCTTCCCTTTTTTATAATAACACTTTCTCCTTTACACCGTCTCCTACCTTTAATGAAGACTTTGAAGATGAATTTTTTCTCTGTAATTTCCCCTTTCATTGCTTTTTTTTTTTAACTTAGAAAAAGCTATTGTGGTTCCAGTAGCCACTTCTCTAAATCAGTTTATACTTGCCTGTTAATTATTACTTTTATCGGAACCTTGGTGGTGAGTGGTTAAGAGCTCAGGCTGCTAGCCGAAAGGTCAGCAGTTCGAATCCACCAGCCGCTCCTTGGAAACCCTATAGTGCAGTTCTGCTCTGTCCCTTAGGGTCGCTATGAGTTGGAATTGACTCCATGGCAATGGGTTTTGTTTTTTTTGTTTTGTTTTGGGATATTAAATGTTAAAGGAGTAACTTTTTCTTGCCACTAGCTGGAATGAATTTCAAGGGGAAAAAAAGTCATCTGTGTTCACTTTTATTTCCCTCCTATTCTCCTTCCTCTTCTATCTCACCCTCCCCCTACTACTGACTTATCTTTTTCTCTGTCCCTGTCTTTTTTTAGTACCCTAGTGAGTCTGTACTGTGTGGGGAGGTATTCTTAGTAACAGCTGGGTCAGCTATAGCTTTCTTGTCCACGTTCCTCAGGAAAGAAAATAATGAACCTCAGTTCTAAACTTGATGCCTAAAATTAAAGAACATTGAGAATGAGAGTTTCATTAGCTAGTGAAGAATACTAATAATAGTACTTTTTAGTACCATTTTAGTTCCATTTCGTCCAAGAATTCCTGAGGAAAGAAGAATTTTGAGAGACCTAGATTCATATTCATTTGATAGAGATTCACTTTGTAAAGCCTGTATGTGTGTATGTATTGTAAAACTCCCTCAGAGATTAATAAATGAAGTATAATATGGTTTGATTGCCAAATCAGAACCCAACAACTCGCATAATTCTTCTTCAATACCCCTTCCTGTATTAGGAAAATAGAAAGGGGGAAAATAATATGAGTGAATAAACCACTTTTCTTTTTATTATGTTGAATGAAGAGAATTGAATTTCATGTTGCTGTTGACAAGCAAACAAAAAACCAAAACACAAGTGCTTTACAAGTAAATTATTAACTAATTATTTAGAAAAACCTACCAATAAAAGACCTACTTGTGTCTTTTTTTTATTTTTAATTTATTTTGTTACTGTTGTTGAGAATATACACAGCAGAACATACACCAAGTCAACAGTTTCTACATGTCCTGCTTAGTGACACTGATCGTGCAACCATTCTCACCCTCCTTTACTGAGTTGTTCCTCATTAACAAATCCACTGCCTTCTAAGGTGCCTATCTGACGTTTCAAGTCGCTGTTGTCAATCTGATCCCATATAGATAGTTCTCAAAAGAACTTAATGCTCAAAGCAGACATTTTTTACTAGTTAAGCTAAACCACTGTTTGGTTTTAAGAAAACTTCAGGGGTTATTTTTGGCTTAAGGTTTAAAGATTATCTCAGGGCAGTAGTTTCAGGGGTTTGTCCAACCTTCATGGCTCTAGGAAGTGGCTCCAGGAAGTCTGGAGTCCATGAGAATTTGAAATTCTGTTCTGCATTTTTACCCTTTTGATCAGGATTCAACTTTAGAATCTTTGATCAGGATGTTCAGTAACGGTAGCCAAGCACCATCCAGTTCTTCTGGTCTCATGGCAAAGGAGGCAGTTAGCCACACTTTAGAGACCAACTGTCGTGTCTTGGATGGCCGGTGTTTTTATTTTCCACTATCCTCTTTCAAATACCCTTTTCTCTCTTCTTTGGGAACAATATTTTTGTTTTTCTACCTCTGTGTCATTACTTGTGCTGATTCTTCCACTTGGTTTGTAAATATTTTTATCTTGACACAATCACAAACTTAAAGTAGAACTAAGTACAGTATAAATAATTGGTTTTTCCCTGAACCATTTGAGAGTAAGATGCTTAACTGATGCTCCATCACCCTGCAGACACATTCTCCTTGGGAACTTGTTAGTAGAAATATAAATTACCAGGCCCTATACCTGACTTAGGAACCCTGGTGGTGCAGTGGTTAAAGCAATTGACTGCTAACTAAAAGGTTGGCGGTTCAAAACCACCAGCGGCTCCACAGGAGAAAGACGTGGCAGTCCACGATTTACAGCCTTGGAAACCCTATGGAGTTTTACAAATTCAATGCCTCTAAGGTTCCTATCTAACATTCCAAGTTAGAATCAACTCAGTGGCAGTGGGTTTGTTTTTCGGGTTTATACCTGACTTATTTAAGAAACTCTGGGGGTGGGGACCAGTAATCTGTCTTTTAACAAGCCCTCTGAGTGCTTCTGGTTCATGCTGAAGATGGACCATCCAGAGCTAGAGCTTCCCAACCAAAGCCCGCCATTGTGCCATGAGTGGTGCACGGATGTGCCACGGCCCTGCTCCCTCAGTGGTTTGGGGTGACTTAGCCTCAAGAAGCCTTCTCTGTTTCCTCCAATGTCCACTACAGATATAGTTTTCCATGGGTGCTATGTGAGAAAAATTGAGAATGCTGATCCTAGATAATTACTCTCTTATATTTTTCCATCGAGAGCTTCCTTAGCTCAGAACCACTCAGGCAGCAGATTTTTTCCTTAGGTTTATGCCGTCTTATTGGTATAGATTTCTGTAATATCTCAGAAATATTACCTTTTTTTTTCTTACTTGGTTATGCATGTTTTTTGAGTTTTTATGGTTTATAGTACACAAACCCATAGAATAACTCTGTCTTCATGTGAAAGCATACATGTGTTATTTCAACTGCCTTTTTTGTTCCACAGGGAGTTCCAATTAGACTTGAAGTGGGGCCACGTGACATGAAGAGCTGTCAGTTTGTAGCTGTCAGACGAGATACTGGAGAAAAGCTGACAGTCACTGAAAATGAGGCTGAGACTAAACTCCAGGCCCTTCTGGACGACATCCATGTTAACCTGTACACAAGGTTCGTTCCTTCAGGTTGTTATGTATCTCTCTCGTCTTCAAATCCTCCTCAACAAAACCTTGGCGTTTCCTTCTGTTGTCAGGGCCCAACAACAACAACTCACTTCAGGGCTCAAGAAATCCTGCCTTGGAAGGAATGAACTCGTTTTAGTTTTTGGCTTTGCTCCTAACTTTATGAGTTTTTAGGCAGGTGATTTTGTTCCTGTCAGCTTACTTGGCCTAAAATGGGGCTGATAATGAGTATCTTGAGGGGGTTATTTCAAGGATTTATTTGGTCTACAACTGAAAAATACATTTGAAGTTTGTTTGCACTCACGACAGGTGATAATGTCCGAGATGAACTGTTAGAAAGCTGCCTGTGCTTGTTCGAATAGGGCATTTTAGCGCAGTGGTTCTTTTCCTGGTTCTTTCTGTGGTCACCTGGGAGCTTTGGGAACACACGCAGACCTGAGCCTCACACCTGGAGATTGCCATTCGTTAGGGTTTAGGTTCTGGTTGTCTGTAGTATTAAAATGTTCTCTGTGGGAGTCAGGTGCATGCCCCTAGGCAGGAAACCTCTAAAAAGCATTTTTTTATTGACATTTCTGTTTAATAAATTTGTTAATATAGCTGCATAAAGGAACATTTTTTTCCCATGAGAAGCTATCAGTGAATTTATTTTTATTTTGAATGAAAAGAACAAGAACCTTTAAAAACATATTATTTTTTCAGTTGGTCCTTTTGACATCGTGGTTAAGAACTCAGTGGCTAACCAAAAGGTCAGCAGTTCAAATCCACCAGCCACTTCTTGGAAACCCTATGGGGCAGTTCTACTCTGTCCTGTAGGGTCGCCATGAGTCAGAATCGACTCAACAGCAACGGGTTTGTTTTTTGTTTTTTTAACACTTCTATAAGCTCTTTGAGGACAGAATCTTTTTCTTATTTATTCATTTAAATGTTATCTTCTGTGGTAATACAAAAATTAGAATGTATGAGCAGGTACTCAGTACGTATTTGCCTGATGAATCTATTAATAAATAAGTGATATTTTTGTAGAAGTTCTTTCCAAGCCTCTTCCCTCTCACTTACATCCAAGTTTTCTATTTTTTTTATTAAATCATTTGTATTTAGATAGTTTACTTTCAGCAGTGATTTTTTTATTTGTAAAATTTTTTTCTATTAGGTATACATGCTCATTGTAGAAAATATAAATACTAAAAAATACAAAGACAATATAAAACTATCTGTAATTTTACCATCCAGAGGTAATCAATGGAAGCATTCTGGTCTATGTCCTTGTTTTTTATGAGTGGTGAATGTGAGTGTATGTTGTTGAGATCCTGTGTAAATTTAGATTATACTTTTTTGTTTAACATGAGATTTTCTTAATGATAATTAAGTTTTGATTTTTTCATTGTTTTTAATCTTATGCATTGCAATGACTGTTTATAAAATATATGTTTATTGAATAAATCTGAGTTCTAGATAGAATTAAAAAAGGTAGCTTAGGATAACACTACTTTCATATTTTAAAAGGTATCAAATTATACTAGCTTGTGGGGAGACCCTTGTTTTACGTAACGCAAAGAAAGTAACGTATAAATTAATATATTAAGGACGTGGTGACATGGACTCTGTCAAAGGTTTGGATTGTTTCTAGGATTATTTTACACACGTTAGACTATTAATTTTATAACATGAAGTTATTGAACACATATTTTTTGTTTAAAAAGTTCTGTACGACTAAGTAGACTAAGCTGCTGTAACAAAAAGACCACCGAAGTTCAGGAGTTTAAAGAACAACTTCACTGTTCTTTCCTGGGACAGACACATGTGAGATGAGTGTTTCAGGTCTGCGGGTGGCTCTGCTTCCCATGGTTACGCAGGAACCCAAGTTATTTACATTTTATTGGTTCTGCCATCCCCTAAGGTCCCTGGGTTTACACTCGGCTACTAAACGAAAGGTTGCTTTTCTAATACACCCAGAGACACCTTGGAAGAAAGACCTGATCTACTTCCATAAGATTATGGCCATTGAAAACCCTATGGAGCACAGTTCTACTTTGACACACGTGGGGTTGCCATGAGTCACAATCAACTCAATGGCAGCAGGTTTTTGGTTTTTATCCTCTAGGCCTTGTTACTTATATGGTCAAAACTGGATCACGGTCATCCCCATCCAGGTTATTACAGGTTGGGAAATGGGAAGAACATGCAGGAGGCATGTCCACTGTCTCACAGGCTAAGCCTGGGAAGCAGCATATGACTTTCCTCAGATCGCGTTGCTGTAACTTAGTCACGTGGGCCCATCTCCCTACAAGGAAGCTGGGAAACAGAGTCCAGTTAGGTGCTCTGGAAGAAGGGGAAACAGCTAGCAGCTACTGGTATGGAGTTCATGTGGTCTAAGCCCTGAGATTCAGTAAAGAAAAAATGCATCTTCTATGTCTTAGTCAGCACCCAGGAGAGATCCTCATGTGATGTGTGACATTGAATATAGGAAAGAAGAGCATTTATTTATATTTCTAAAACCTGAGGTTTTTATAAAAGGAAGTTATGTAGTATGTGATTATAACTTGAATAATGTCTATTTGTGTATTTTTTCCTTTCAAAACACTTCTATGCCTTTGTATTTGATTCTAATTAACTTAGTAGAATATTTTTCAATTTTATAGAAGGGAAAACTAAGACCAAAGAGGCTTAAAAAATAACCCAGAGCTAGTAAGTGGGCTAGCCAGGACTGGAATGTGGGTCAGTGGAGATCTAACAGCAGAGAAGAAACTATCACCCACTGTGTCTGGCACATTGCCCGTACATCTCATGCTCACAGTCATGCAACGAGGAGGTGACCGAGATTACTGGAGATCATTGGTAGTGACAAAGTGAGATTCAAATTGAGTTCTTCTAACTTCCAGGTTATCGTTCTTGCATTTAGTTATGCTTACCTGTAGCTGTCAAGTCAATTCCTACTCATAGCAACCCTGTAGGACAAAGTAGAACTGCCCCATAGCGTTTCCAAGGTTGTGACCTCTGCGGAAACAGACTGCTGCATCTTTCTCCCATGCAGCTGCTGGTGGGTTCAAACTACCAACCTTTCAGTTAGCAGCTGACCGCTTTAACCACTGCACCATCAAGGCTCCTTCAGTTATGCTTAGCTTATGTATTTTATTAAAAAGAACTTTGTCATGTTTGTAAGAAAAATGATGTATTCTTTCTAATTTTTCTTTGGTAGAGCTTCTGAAGACCTTAAGACTCATATGGTTGTGGCAAATACAATGGAAGACTTTCAGAAAGCACTAGATTCTGGAAAGGTAAGAGACTTCAGAAAAGTTTTGAATATAAAAATATTTCACTAAAGTTTATTTAAGACCCATTGAATTAATGCCTGGTATTAATCATACAAAGAGATTATATATTACTCAGCATTATGTACTCTTTATTTTCCACTGGCCTTCCAAAGCATTACAACCTTTATCATTTTTGAATAACACCGTGTGAACTGATTATGTCAAAGCTTTTTCTTACGCCTGATATACTGGCTAAACAACATTCATTCTCTTTTACCACTAGTCTTCATTACTGTAAGTTTTCATTTTGTCCTTCAAGTTCGACGCAAGTTCCTAACATAGGCGTTGTGCTAGCTGAGGAACTGTGATGTGCAGGTTTCAAAAGCAAGGTGTGAAAAGTCCGTTTCTTCCAATTCCCTGCCCAGACATCCTTCTCCAGATCTTAATTGCTCGAATTTCTGAATAACGTGGGGAGAAGAGAATTACTGCACATGTCTAAACCTGTTTGTCAGAATGAGTGGCTACTTCTGGCTCCTTAAAATTACCTAGGTTTTTGTAATTAGGTAGGTAATGTCTCTTTAAGATTTCATAGATTTTATGTATTGTGCGTATGCAGCTGTTCCTAGCCTAAACCTTTACTTGTTATAAGGAAGTGATCTTGATCTTCAAAGTTATTGATTACTGGGATGAATCACTTATGAACTTTAATATTCTGGTATACGTGTTTGAATATACAACCAGGCCTGTGTCCCCAGGTCACAAATGAGAAAACCATGGCCCAGAATCTAAGTGAACTACCTCAAACCACACAGCAGCACAGCTGGTGCTGGAATTTAGATCCCTCTTCTAACTCAGTTTAATGCACTTTCCTGTTTATCGTTTTTTGTTTTTTTTTCAATTCATGCTGAGAATATAAAGCAAAGTATGGTTTTTTATGGTCTTAACCTATTAATATATCTCTGATTGCATGAGCCGGGCAAATTAATTAATCTCTCTGGCTCTCAATTTGCTAATCTGTAAAATGAGTGCACGATAGATAATCTCAAAATCATCTACGGATCTGTAATTCTACAGTATTTAATCTCCTGTTGGTTCCTGTGTAACCTTCACTTTTCTGGGTTCTATAATCTGTCACTTGACTCAGACTGCCTTCTTCTAAGACAAGGCTAGAGAATGGATAGCCATCTGACACAGTGTGTATTTTTCCTCTTACTGTAATTTATTTTTGATTATTTTCTTTTTATTCCATTAAGTATTGAATCTTTTCATTTCCTTTATTATAGAAATATGGTAGTTGATTGCGCAATATAATGAAAGACATTGTGTAAGAGTTAATAAATCAATAGAGTAACATACCAGTTAATTTATGCTTTCACAGAAATGAATCCCAGCAGCTATTAGTGGAATCATATCTTTTATTCTAGTATTAGATAAGCTACTGTAGAGATTTCAACATCTGTTCTAAGGGCATAAGGTATTTAGTTGTATGTCCAGAGAACGTATAGGGATGAGAAAACACGTTGTGCTTCTTGTATTTAGTAGTCACTTCCATCTCTCACTTTACCTTGTGTTGGTCAGAGTGGATGTGCTGACTGAAGATCAAACTACTGGAAATGAAATTGTATTTACTAGGAGGAGAGAAGGAAGAAGGGAGCTTTGGAACTTGAATGTAGTTGAAAATTTGATTTTTTGCTCTTCCCTACTGGTATGAATGGAAAAAAAAGTTGTAATTTTCACACCTTTGATTTATAGGACTTGATTTTAGTAAATTTTTTCATGTGGAGTGTGTTAGTGCTGCTATAACAGAAATACCACAAGTGGATGGCTTTAGCAAACAAATTTATTCTCTCACAGGTTAGGAGGCTAGAGTCTGAACTCAGATCACCAGCTCTAGGGGAAGGCTTTCCCTCTCTTTTGGCTCTGGGGGAAGGTCTTTGTCACCTTTCAACATCTGTGGGCCTGGCATCCCTTGGAGAGCTCCAGGTGTCTTTGCATCAATCTTCCCCTGGCCTAGGAGGTTCTCAGCACAGGGACCCCAGGTCCAAAGGATGTGTCCAACTCCTGGCTCTTCTTTCTTGTTGGTACTGAGGTCCCTCTCTCTTTGCTCACTTCTCTCTCCTTTTATGTTTTGTAAGACAAAAGGTGATGCAGGCCATACCCCAGGGAAACTTCCCTTCCATTGGGTCACACCCGTGACCTAAGCAAGGGTGTTGCATCCCACCCTAATCCTCTTTAACATTACCTAATCTTGCTTCATTAACCACATGCAGAGATTAGGATTTACAACACAAAGGACAGTTACATCAGATCACAAAATGGAGGACAGCCACGCAACACTGGGAATCATGGCCTAGCCAAGCAGACACATATTTTGGGGGAACACAGTTCAGTCCATGACAGGGCGGATTTTACTTAAATGAAAAATAAATATTATCTATAAATAATATATATATTATGTCTTTATAGTTTCCATACATTACTCATCTACTTTATTGATCACTGTGATTTTTGAGCATTGATATGTCTCACCATTAACATTTTCCACTTAAACAATTTAAGAAATAACATTTTGCAAAAGATTGTCTTTTTAAAACATAGATATAGAAGTAATAAAACATTAAAAACCTTTCCATGGCTGAATAAATAGCCTAAAAATACATCCTGTCCTTTCATTTTAATGAATGATGTGCATAAATAACCAGATATTTCAGGTCTTATCACTTAAACCTTAATTTGAAGCTAGAAAAAAATAATAACATGATTTTTACAAAATCACCGTTTATTAAGTCCAGATATATTTAATAAAAGCTTTCCATGAATTTGTTCACATGCTACAACCATTTTAAATTAAAAAAATTTTTGCATTATTATTGTAGAACTACAAATCTTCTCAAAGCTTAGTATTTTTTCTTAAAAGAAAATAAGACTTTACTGTGAAATGGTTCAAGTTATAAAAATGTAGCCATAAATTTTTTAAGTTTAGTAAAATTTTCAAAGAAGCCAATTTTAGATTTATTACCCAAAGAGATTCTTTGTAATTAAGTCTTAATACTTTTATTATTGTATAATTAGAGACTGTTAGTAAAGTTTTTTCCTCGTTCTTTTATAGAATTTTAAGCAATATTTTTATGAATATACATTTTTCCTGTTTTTTGTTTGTATAAATGCTAATGATTTACCAAGTCTCAATACAGGGAAGTAACTTTGTGTTATTTCAGCTCTAGCTCTAGGTTTGTAATTGCTTCCATTTTCATTTTGCACAAATAATATCTATATTAAAATAAAAAAAAAAAAAAGCTTATTATTGCCATTGCTGCCACATTTCCCTCACCCACCTGCTCCTACCTCCCAGGATTTGCCTAGTGAATTATCAACTCTTTATTGTCCTAAGACAGATTATCAAAATAACAGCTTGTCTACTTTGGGAATTGGGCTAACACATTTTACTGAGTAAACATAAAAGACTTAAATAGTTAACCCTTCCTCACCCTGCAATAATGTTCACTGGATGAATTACTCGGTTTTCTGGAACTTCCCAATCTCTATTTACTTTTACTTTATTTCTCCCTAGAGAAGCCCTTTGAGACCTTTAACTAAATCCTAAAAGCAAGGACAGGTTTGCAGGAGGGACTTTTCATTTGAGCATGGAATATGTGGCTGGGAATGTCGAACAGGAGTTGATAGGGAAGCTGGATAACTTCCTAGCTGCTTATAAGCTGGGCATTCCTGCTGAGTGGGGATTATCCACACTTCGGCTCCTCCTACCAGTGACACTGGTGTCCAGATTACGTAATAGTTAGGTCAGGCAAACCCCATTTTGAAAAAGGCTCACTATGAAAATTTTAGTATTCAGAACTGGAAGGAATCTCAATGCTTGTCTAGTCCAACATAATAAAGGAAAACCAAGGACTAGAGAGTTTCAAACAGGTAGTGGATTTCAAACTTTTGATAGAATCCCAGGTCTCCTGATTGTGCCCATTATTCTATGTGGTCTCATGATGAAAAATGGCAAGGTTGCTTTTTTCCAGTACAAAAGGATTTTTGATCTTCGGGTACCCTCGCACTTTAAAAAATGAATCACTTCCCTTACCGTGTTGAGACAGTTGTGGCATAAAGTGAAGACTGTCTGATTTTTATTAACACTTAAAAAATCCATTTACTACTTACAGTCTCCCTTTTATCCTCCCAGTCAGCACTCTGACGGGGAGAGCAGGCAGTGGTCCAGAACTGAGGTGGGGGAGTACACCTGGGTGGAGGCTCAGGGCTGCTCCCGCCTGTTCAGCTTTTCAGCATCACCCTGTAGTCAGTTTGCTGGGACGTTTTCGTGTATCGTAAAGATGTCTTTCTTGTGCCTTGATGTTCTGCAGCGTGTGAATATTAGAGAAACATTTTTTCTTTCTCTTGTGCCTTCTGAGTAAAGTCCCCAGCAGGTTTGCAAAGGTCTCACAGCTTGAAAAAGAGTGGACACCTGTCCATTTAGCTTGTAAGTTTAATAGATAACTCAAATGTTGCCTTTTATAGAATAGAAGGAGTTACGAGTACTGAATACTTTTTTTCTTAGATTGCTCAGATTCCATTCTGTGGAGAAACTGACTGTGAAGACTGGATCAAAAAAACCACTGCCAGGTAAGCATAACTAACAGGTAGAATGTTTGCGGTGTTGCAGTGGACCAGAATAGAGGCGTATCGCGTACGTGAATGGACTTCTTGTTTTTTATTTCAGGGATCAAGATCTTGAACCTGGTGCTCCATCCATGGGCGCTAAAAGCCTTTGCATCCCCTTCAAACCACTCTGTGAGCTGCAGCCTGGAGCCACGTGCATCTGTGGCAAGACCCCTGCCAAGTACTACACCTTGTTTGGCCGTAGTTACTGAGCGGTAAAACAAAAGCCTATTGCCAGTCCTCCTCACTTTTTAAGAAATTGGTATTATTATGTTCCCAGATATAGTCAATATTTTGATTTTTTTTTTTAAATAAAAGTTCTAAAAGCAGGTCATACGAGACAAACAACTATTCTTATGCCTAAATTAACAGTGAAAAAAAGACTCTTCTGTAAACAACCCCAATAATAAATATTATGACTTAATAATGTTTTTTGTATTCCTTTGTTTCTGAAATACCTGAATTACATACTACACGGAAATCCCTTTGAAGAGAGAAACATACAGTCTACCTGCATTATTCACGGATTCCGTGTTTGTGAATTCGCCTGTTCACTGACACTGATTTGTAACCTCAAAATCAATACCCGTGGGGCTTCCGTGGTCGTTCGTCGACGTGCAAAGTTGCGGACGTTGGAATCGCCGGAGGCGCAGGTTCCCAGCTGAGGCCAGGCAGAGCCACGCTCTGCCTTCTCCTTTCAGCTCCCCTGCTGTAAACAAGTGTCCTCTTCTGGGCTCCTTAGTGCCATGTTTCCACATTTCTGTGTTTTTGTTGGTGACGTAGCAGCGTGCTGAAGTGCTGCCTGTGCTTCTGAGCACAGGAAGGCTGCGACGTGCCTTACAGAGAAAATACCCGCGTTAGGTAAGCTTCATTCAGGCAGGAGTTACAGTGCTGCTGGCCGTGAGTTCAGTGTTAGTGAATCAATGAGACATATGAAATAAGGTGTCTTTAAAAAACACATCAAACCAGGTATGTGTTCACTGGTGGATGAAGACTGCCAGCTTCTCCCAGGGACCTTACCCCGTGTACTTCTGGGGCGGTGGTTTCGTGTTTGCTCACTCAGTGTTCACGGTGACTGCGGAACATAATTCCTGTGAATAAGAAGAATCAACTCTAATTAAAACCCAGGTCACTGTTCCTGATCTAACCACTCCTTGTGTTGTCTCAGTCCTTGAGCCACCAACCACCCCTTTTTCTTATATCTTGAAGCACTTCCTTTCCATAGCTCGCTCTACTGAATCTGCAATTGCCCTAAATCTTTCTGTTTAAAAAAAAAAAATCACGAATGGAGAGAAAAAAAAAATAAGCTCTTCCTTGATTCTCTCGCCCTGCAGTTGCTATCTGCTCTTCAAGAAAAGTCCCAGATTCTGAAGTGATCCCGTCCTCCTTTCTCCTTACCCTGCCCGCTCTCCTCGGCGTGCACGCCACACCACAATTTCCGCTGTGATCCCTGAGGACGCCCCTGATGGACGCCGACGTTCAGGTGTTAGTGCTTGTCTTTCCGTATCCCTCGGCTGCATTTGGTGCTCTTTTTAGTATAATCACTCCTGTGACTCTTTCTTAGTTACGGGTCTCTTTCCCTGGCTCTTCTTCCTTGGCCCGTTCCTTAGACATCGGCTTACCATACTTCCATACTTGGCCCTCTTTTCATGCTACCTAATCGGCCCCATCTAATCCCATGGTTTTAAATAACATTAATTAGGTGATGAATCCAACGTTTGTATCTCTAGTTTTGAGCTCTGGACTTTTATTCCTACTGCATACTGAAGTTTTTTCAGTGTTCCATGAACATTTCAGGTCAGGTCAACATGTCCCCAAAACCTCATTTCATCTTCCACCCTTAGACCTGTTCCTCCTATAGTAATTTCCTGCCTGGAACATTAGAACTGCCAAAACGCACCCAGTAACCCAAGCCAGAAATTTGAGAGTCTTTCTAGGCAGCCCCTACAACACCCTGTCACCCACATTCCTTCTGCCAGCAAAACATAGTGCTGTTATGGCTCATGTAATTGTTGTTACTTGCTGTCGAGTGGCGACCTTCCGTATAACAAAACAAAATGGTGCCCGGTCCTGCACCATCTTGATGATGGTTGGTGTGCTCGAGTCCATTGTGGCCTTCTAACCTAGCGAGCTCATCTTCCAGCACGGCATCAGACAGTATTCTACTGTTATACATAGGGTTCAATTAGCTAATTTTTTGAAGTAGGTCACAAGGCCTTTCTTCTTTGTCTTAGTCTGGAAGCGCCACTGAAACCTGTCAACCATGGAGGACCCTGCCGGTATTTGAAATACCAGTGACATAGCTTCCAGCGTCATAGCTACATGCAAGCCACCACAGAACGACACACTGACAGGCGGGAGGTGGTGGTCCCCTTTCATAGTTGTCGAGATTTTATTCAGACCTTGTTACCTCCTGTGTTGATCACAGCAGTGGCCCCCAGTCTCATGTCCAGGCCAGTCTCCTTGTTACCATAGGTGTTGGTTTTGTTTTTTCTCCCTAATGTGCAATTTCTGCACATTTTTCTTCCCCTGAAAATTCTTCTGTGGCTCCCCATCAAGTACAGGATAAAATTTAAACCTTATAGCCTAGTGGACCCTACCTGTCCTGTCTCGTCTCGTACCAGTCCAGCACTGTCCTTGGCAATCTAGCTGTTTGGAGTGTCCTGTAAACAACGTGCCATTTTCTGTCTCTCTTCCTTTGCCTGTAATGCCTTTCACCCTTCATTTCCAGTCTGCCTGGTAAAGCTCTTACTTCACACGCTGTTCCAATACTCTTCACTTGGCAGTGATAAATACTCCAGTCAAGGGAAGTGACTTCAAAAACGATGTGGATTTTGAGCTGAGCTTTGAAGGATGAGTAGAATTTTTTTTTGCACTTTTTTTTTTTTTTATTGTACTTCAGGTGAAGGCTTACAGAACAAATAGTTTCTCATGAAACAGTAGTATACGTATTGTTTTATGACATTGCTTAACAACCC